AAATTAGTCTGTCAGCTATTTTGGTTCAAAGTTGACTGGAGAGATAAATCACATGACAGTTTTAGCAAATCAAACACTATTGGTAAGTGGATCTGAATAATGATTTCAATTTGTTGCATATTTGAGTTGTCCATACTTTAATCTCATGCATAAACCTGACTGTAAGATATAAACATGGAAATTCATGAAAGCTCTTCAGCTAAATCAAGACAGTTAGATACATGTATCATGAGATATTATAGTTACTGGTACTACACATAATGTGATAGTTATACAAGCCATGCATGGCACAGTCCGTTAGTTATCAAATTTAAGATATATAGTTTTGTTTACAGTAATATAGCTGGAATATAATCATGTCAGGAATATGATTTTTTTAACATTAAAATGATTGACATTTGTATCTGATCGTCAATGTCAATGTCCTGACCTTTTGTACACGTAGCACACATAACTCACCGACATGTCAATGTCCTGACCTTTTGTACACGTAGCACACATAACTCACCGACATGTCAATGTCCTGACCTTTTGTACACGTAGCACACATAACTCACCGACATGTCAATGTCCTGACCTTTTGTACACGTAGCACACATAACTCACCGACATGTCAATGTCCTGACCTTTTGTACACGTAGCACGCATAACTCACCGACATGTCAATGTCCTGACCTTTTGTACACGTAGCACACATAACTCACCGACATGTCAATGTCCTGACCTTTTGTACACGTAGCACACATAACTCACCGACATGTCAATGTCCTGACCTTTTGTACACGTAGCACACATAACTCACCGACATGTCAATGTCCTGACCTTCTGTACATGTAGCACACATAACTCACCGACATGTCAATGTCCTGACTTCATTAATTCACTACAACTAGGTCAGTTATTCAACATGCTTTTTTTTTGTATTAATGTTTACCAAACAACAACATTGTACTGTGTGTATGTATACACTGCCTTGAGAGTTAACAACAAGTCATATGATACTATTAGATTGTACTGTGTGTATGTACACACTGCCTTGAGAGTTAACAACAAAGTCATATGATACTATTAGATTGTAATTACAATAATGATTTCCATCTGCAACGATAAATTATAATAATAAATATATATTTATAGATCTGTGTCTTATTCTTCATTGTATATATATAATACGTATGTACATTAGAAAAAGAACCCCTACTGAGAAAACTGGCTACTTAATCACATGACTGCAAATGTACTTGATTTTGTCAAACCATTCACACCTTCACTGCAAGATATGGCATAGTAGTCAACTAGTGGAAACAGTATTGTTTTAACAATATGTATAGCATGTACAACCAGGAACTGCAATTTTGAAAGAAATGGTTTTAAATAACTGCAAATTGATCGTTTCTGTGAACGAATACAGTCACGTGATCTTGGCTATTGAGCCTGAAAACAACACCTCCTTCAATGTTCTGATCAAAACTACTGTAATTGCTTCTAACATTGTTTCATTTTGTTTCCCACCTATCAGATTACACAATGCCCATGCTATAATCAACATACAGATTTTAATGTGAACGTTCTCATTTGAAATGAACATTCTAATCAATAATACATGTACCTTATTCTATTAATGTATTATTTACCCATTAATCTAAACTTTAATTGCAGCCATGTTATAAACTAGTTATAGAATGACAATGGCTTTGTCGTCACTCTACTATCATTCTCAAAGCCTTGTATATTGGGAAGAAATGTGTTATTGGATATTGGATTTTTGCAGAGGATTGTGGGATAGAAAATTGAACTGTAGAGGGTGTTTGTGGGGGGGGGGGGGGCTAACACCTTTTCTATATAGCCCAATGTTAAAATTAGCTTTTTACCTCTCCTGTTTTCAAGTAAGCATTATATTGCTGGACTTTCCAATAATTTGAGTAAAGTATATATGATCTGTATATCACAAATCATCATTTTGATGGGTTCGATTTGATCACAGTTTATTTGCAGATAATAGCAGAATTAATAAGTCACAAAATAGCTGACAGAATATCAGTAAATCAGACCTTACTTTCTAAGGCGAGTAATCACTCCACTTGCCTTTCACTCACATGAT